AGTTAGGAACAAATGTAATGCAGATAGACTGAAACCTTGAGAACGCTCTGAGTATGCTTTTCAATATATAGGAGAAGCCCATTAGGTCAATTTTTATTTATGCAGTGAGAATTGGATGTAGTAATTTGAATGACAGGAATGTTCATGTTGACTGTTCCCATCCAGATTCAAGAGCAAATGGTAGTTGAAAGCAGAGCTAAATGTACAGTAGAATCAAGTGCATTATCCCATGTAATATGGGGCGGCAGGCCGACGCCTTGATTGGTTCCTTCACGCCAAGCCCAGTAAATCGAACAGCGGTCACCCTTCTGTGCAAATAAAGAACTAAACCTCGAGGAGTTAGTTTCTAAAATCCCCCACATACGGGCGAGCCTGAAGAAGGAAAACGGCAATAGAATAGTGCTCATGTGCACGAAGGGAGAAACCTGTTGGTGAGGGTTCTATCAAAGAGCGACACATCTTTAATGTCCTTCTACAACCAGGGTATCGTACAGCTTAGGTCTGCTAAAGGGGGGGTTGGCCAGGACGTGGGCCTGAAGACGAACGTGACAACGGAACGAAAAACGGCTAGCATTCACGATGAAGGACGTCTGTGTCAGATTTTAATCAACAGCTTAAAGTCTGGTCCTCGAAACTAAGGTAGATTCAGTTCATTTTTACTTACACTAGCACTACCATATTGATCAGCATTACTAATTCAAGTCCCCAAAGTAACCTGCGACAACTGTCCGCATGAACATGCACAGGAATAATGCTGATAATAGTTGGAATATATTCCATGAATGTGGATTATCATGTCTACACGTAATACCTGTAGCGGTTTGGAGATGCTTCTTGTAGTAGGATCTTGCCCAACGAAGCTCTGCTGTTCAAAGGACGGTTCCGGTTCGGCAATAATTGTTTCTGGTCTAGGATTAGCGGACGCAGAGGAAGGTAAACCTTTGATCCTACCGACAGAGATGAGCTTGGTAATTTGTCCTTCTGTTTCACTCTCTGTGTTGATATCAGCAGAATCTAGACAACTGACGCGAAGGTTTGTCAACGCGACCGCACCATCGCCACCGCCACTCGCCTAGCAACAAATAGTTAGATTTGATAAAATCAATTTAGGTTAAGGATATTTTACATTTTTAATATTTTAAAATGTTTGATTTCAAAAGGAGGAAAAGACAGATTATAACGGTTAAGGACATTTTTCAAATAAAAGAAGGTAACGCCTGAGGCGTCGACGACTTGCACAAGTGGAAACTATATATAAAAGTGCGAACATATAGGCAAAAATCTGGTTGGCTCTCACAGCGTTTCACTAGTTGCAGCCGGTGAAAATTTAAAAACGATAAAACGTCAAAAGAAAGGCCAAATATTGTAATGGGAAGTGTTATGCAAGGTGGTGGAAGCTTACTAGCAGTAGTTCGTCAGTTTCGGATTTAAAGAGTACGGCGAGACTCCAAATATTCCTTCCACGATGAATGTCCCGGAGAACCAGTGGCTTAGCAAAGGCCTTAAGACGCTCGCGGGGCCACGAAAAGAGTGAAATCGCACAGTCCTAGACAGATATGAATGGGAATTAGGTCTATAATTTTAACATTCATTCAAGTGATTTTAAATTCAGATGGCAGTTATAAAGTATTCCAGTACTTATCAAGCCATACATGGCAGAGGAATTGTTGAAAGTCATAAGAACAGAGCTGTGGTAGGTGTGATATTTACGATATGACGGGTTCGATCATTGTTCTGAATATA